TTTTAAGTAGAAAACGTTGTAAATGTATATTTTTTTACTCAGTAGTTTATACAGGTACGGACGAAAAGTTATTACTCTTGAAACCAGTTAAAAAATACGTAGGTGGCGCCCTCTACAAGTAGGAGTCATATTGACATGAAAATCAAATGTTTCATGTCAAAAAACTCCCAGACGCCAATTTTCATCCAAATATTGACGTTACATCAGAAATTATTTGGAAAAAATCCAAATAAAAATGAAACTTTTTACACCCTGTATCTCCAAAATTTTCTACTTATTTTTATTTACTGAATATGCTACCGAAATTTCCGGAATACAGTTCGAACTACCCTGTATATGCCAAAAAGTGTTCAAAGGTGTTCAAATAACGAGTCGTAAGAGTCAATTCATTATAAGAAATTGAATCGTGTGATTCGATTCACTAAAAAGAATCCCATCCGTAAGGCCCATCACTATTTGGCAAAAATAACTATGATACGTTAACCCTTATTCAGTGATGCCACAACCCTAGATCATATATACTTACGTGGATAAATAAATCACTATGGAAACTGTCGCAAACAACACACGCGGTGTTTCTATTCTATCTATCCTAGTCGAGAACCTATCGTCCGCGCGCCAAATTTGAACATTAATTTTAAAAATTTAATTTGAAAAATGCTTAAATTTGAACAATCAATTGAATGTTTAACTTTCACAAAAATTAAACTATATAAAAAATGCATTTACCCACTTCGTACAAATATCAATATTCTTAGGAAATCTAACCAGAAAGTACTCCGTATGTGGCTTAATATAAATTAAAGAACAACTGAATACTTGCCTATGAAAAGATAATTCGGGGACCTTTATATTAGAACTTTCACACACTAAACACTTTCTAGTCATTTTTACGAGTATTCATAAAGTCCAACCAAAAAAAAAATAGAAATATAATTGCACATACTTAAAATTAACTTCTCACTGAACACACTTGCACCCTTGGCTATATAAAAGCGGTCGATAAAAGAGTAGTTAATACAATTTTTAAATAGAAAAACGCAAAAAACAAGCGTCGTTACACAAAGGAAATTAGATTATGACATATGATTATGACAAGATTATGACGACAAAATGATGACAATGAAAACTTTTCCATAACAATGTATAATTTGTATTTTGTAAACCGTATAAAATTGTGATTATTTTGGAGATACTTGCAACTTTTAATACGCATGCGCAAAGTAAGGTCCTCGAGAAAGACAAACCTATTGAACGTTCCATAAGTACAATAAAGAAGGTTTGAAAATGGCATGTCGTGATGTTGGAGACATAATTTTTAATGCTAAACTTATGGTGTTGATTTATCCACGTAAGTATATATGATCTAGGGTTACAACTTACTTCTGGCAAATAATTTCCGCACGTAGGGAATCCCTTAGGCACAGGGGGCATTTGACCATTTTCCCCAACTTGAAAGACCAGAGCCATGCCTACCTCCGCATGGAACTCGATGTGGCAGTGGAATATCCAATAACCTAGAAAGCCAAGGGACAAAAATAAGTATATCTAGAAGGAAATTCTATTAAGATTTAATTTATTCCATCACGGCGTGACACATAGCTTGGTAGATTTTTTGCGAGAGAGTTGAGATTTGAGGTTTTCACGATGAAAAACGAACATAAAGCGGGTCATACACGGCAAAATTTGTCGTACAAGTTGTAAATGTTCGTTACTTTAATCGTGTGAAATCAAATAGGTTAGTGTAAGTGTTAGGATAGTGTAAAAAAAATTGTGTGTGCACTATGTGCGCATGTTTGTAGTGAAACTTCTTACTAACAGCTATTAAATTCGAGGATTTGAAGGATATATATTTTTTTATGAATGCCTTTTATAAAGTTCAAAAAAATTAAAGTTAATATAAAACCGTACACTATTCTAACTTTATAATTTTATAATGTTTTTTTTTAATTTTTATTAAAAAACGATAATTATATAGTTATATATATATATATAGTTATATATATATATATATATATATATATATATATATATATATATATATATATATATATATATATATATATATATATATATATATATATATATATAACATAGAATATGTATTTCTTTTGCATAAAACAAAATTGTCACTCTAAATTTTACATAACCAATAGTGATGGGCAAAACTGTTAAAATAACAGCTTAAAAATAACAGGTTTCTTTATTTTATTGCTAAATCTCTGAAAGAGTATGAGGCGGTCACCGCCAGGCGTATTAACGCAGTTGCAAGTTGCAACAATGACGTGCTCGGTGGTAGTATTTCCAGGGTGTCATAACATTTCTAAATATCGATTGTTATCTAAAATACCTCTCTAAAAACGGGGGTTGTTTACAAATAAGCGCTGTTTACAAATTGCGATATAAAAAAGCCAAAATGCCGCCACTCGTCTATATCTATAAATTCCGATCTACCTACGCCCTACCCCTCGATCCGCGTAGATTCTGAATTGCGTAGCAGTGTACAGGGTGCATCTCACTCGACGGGCGAGAAGCTCTTCGTTATGATTTTACCATTTGCGGTCAAAAAATAGCAATATAAGAAAATGTGTAGTATATTCTTCATAAGTAAACCAACTACACACTAGAGTTCGAATTAATTTTACACTTAAACTAGCATGTACAGTTTGACAAATATAGGAAGAGACTTGGGGATAGCACCGGTCGCGCACACGATAGAGAGAGAACGCATTCGGCGGAAGAGAGATGCAGTTACGCTACGAAAAATCTGATTGAAGCAAATTTGTGGGATGTCCACTGCGCATCGGGGGGCGTCTCTTATTTTATATTTCTCACGTCTCTAGCTATACTTGTTAAGTTGTACCCGCGACTTCGTTCGCATCGAATTATTAATTTGTAATGGTGATGATAAAGCAAAGCAAGAATTTCCATTAACATACAAACTGGATAAAATTTTCTCACATTTGCCAAAAATATGCTTTAAACGTCGAGCAGTTTAAGCAGAATCGTGGTTAATCAATTACTCAACTTTTTGGAACACCCTGTATTATTTTTTAAAAAATTTCAAAATATGTAAAAAAACAAAATAAATTATGCGTGTCCAATCGTTTTCCCGAAAGACTAACCGTTTTTTAAATAATAAATATTGTAATATTTGAGGGGCGTTTTCACCCTCTTGGAATTTGAGATTCGAGAAACCCCTCCTTATCGCACCTCTACACCCCACAGTCAATCCGTTTACCAAAAATCAGCTTTAAACGTCAAGCAGTTTAAGCAGAATAGTGATTACTCAGTGGTCATATTTTATGAAACACCCTGTATATATTTTGTAAAAATCTCAAAATATGTAAAACAACAAAATAAAATATACGTGTTTAAGAGTTTTTTCGAAAAACTCACCAGTTTTTAAATAAAAAATATTCTAATATTTGAGGGTGGTTTCACCCCCTTAGAATTTGAGTTTCGAAAAATCCCTTCTTATCGCACCTCTACACCCTAAAGTCAATCCGTTTTCCAAAAATCAGCTTTTTACGTCAAGGGCTTTAAGCAGGATCGTGATTAATCAATGACCAGATTTTTCAAAACACCCTGTATACATTTTTAAAAAATCTTAAAATATTATTCTGAAAATTTTTCAGAATAAATAAATACTTAAATATTGAAACTTAATAACAAAGTATTGAAACATACAGCGCCATAATATCTCGACCTCCGCCCGTTATGCTCGTAACAGGTTGAAAAACAATATGTATCTAAAACAACTGATGCGTTATTCTCCAACCTGTTTCAAACCTCCGATTATCTCGAACGCCGTTCTGTTATGCTCGTAACAGGTAAAAAAACAACATAGCTAAAACAACTGATGCGTTATTCTCCAACCCGTTGCGAGCCTCCATCGACAATCGACCGATGCAGCAGCGCTCCTTTCCCACTCCTGTTATCTCGACCGCCAGGCGTTATGCCCGCAACTGTTTCAAAAGCTGCTTTTTATTGGTGGGTTCATACAGCCAAATAAAATAAAATAAGAATAAAATAAAATAAAATAAGAAAGTTGGTTATATGGGATACCGTATACGTGTTCATACAGCCAATAAAATAACAAATAAAATAAGAAGTCTTTATCTTTTAAACTGTTTTATTTTATGTGAAAACGGCTTTGCGCACGCTTAATTCTAACCTACAAATATTTTCAGTTTGGATTTAATTTATTTTATAATTTCACATAAGTAAAATGTATAATATAGTAGGCAACGAATAAATAATTAGTACTATAAATAGTAAAATTTATAAACAATCGTAAAAGTTAACTTTATCCAGCCTCATCGTACTGCGCATGAGCAAATATATATTTCTTATTTTATTTTATTTGACTGTATGAACGCACTCAAATAAGAATTCCTTATTTCTTATTTTATTTTATTCTTATTTTATTTTATTTGGCTGTATGAACCCACCATATATCCTATTATTTTTAAGCTGTTGTCAGCCCAACACGACGCGCCGCGCCGTAGCGCATACCCCACTCCGTTGTCCGTTGTATCTCGCCGCCTGTATCGATGGTTGTCGAAATAATAGGTTTTCCATCCATACTAGTTGTTTTTGTAATTGCTTCGAGCAGCATCGAATTTCGTGGCGGTTTCGAGCGCCGACTTGTTTCATACGAACAGTCGATCTCTGCGTGTCGTTATTTTATATCTGTTATTTTTTAAAAGTAGTAACGGTTGCGTTATGTTATTTCCAAATAATTGTTATAAAATAACAGATAGTTAAATAATAACCCATCACTAATAACCAAATTGTCACTCTAAATCGCTGTCTTTTTTAGACAGATGTCACTTGTCTGGTCATTATTCAATTCAGTATTCAAATTCTCAGAACGTTGTTAACAAAATAGTCTAGCCTAGCAAGAGCTAGCAACGTTTTCGAGAAAGTATTTTAAGACGTCTGGCTCTTTGATATATCTTTTACTATGCTCTCTGGAACAGCATGCGGCCCGTCTGGCTGCCGATACCCGTTGCGTTTACTACTGCGCATCGGAAGAAGATCCTATATTTTTTTATTAATTTAGTCCTATAAATTCTAGTATTGAATATAAATCGAACATGTCTCCATAGCGCAGTGCGTAGAGTTTCCGACCACGAACCGAAGATTCAGAGTTCAAATCCGGGTCAGGTCAAAGACTTTTTTATTTTATTTTCGTTTATATTCTGACAGTAAGTATTAAATAATTCTGATAATTAAAAAAACAAATATTATATATAAAAGCGCTTGACGTAAAACCTGATTTTTGGAAAAACAAATTGACTTTAGGTGTAGAGGTTCGATAAGAAGGATTTTTGAAACTCGAATTCTAAGGGGGTGAAACTATCCCTCAAATATTAAAAATATTTTTTATTTAAAACCGGTGAGTTTTTTCGGAAAACTCTAAACACGTATTTTGTTGTTTTACACATATTTTAAGATTTTTATAAATTTATACAGGGTGTTTCATAAAATATGACCAATGAGTAATCACGATTCTGCTTAAACTGCTTGACGTTTAAAGCTGATTTTTGGCAAACGGATTGACTGTGGGGTGTAGAGGTTCGATAAGGAGGGGTTTCTCGAATCTCAAATTCCAAGAGGGTGAAAGCGCCCCTCAAATATTACAATATTTGTTATTTAAAAACCGGTTAGTCTTTCGGGAAAACGCTTGGACAAGCATAATTTATTTGTTTTTTTTACAAATTTTGAATTTTTTTAAAATATCATACAGGGTGTTTCAAAAAGTTAGGTAATTGATTAACCACGATTCTGCTTAAACTGCTTGACGTAAAAATCTTATTTTTGGCAAACGGATTTTTCGAAAGTCAAATTCCAACGAGATGAAACTACCCCTCAAATATTACCAAGTTATATAATAATATCGCCATATTGTTTTTTCTCATGCTGACATAAATGTGAGGAAATTTTATCCAGTTTGTATGTTAATGGAAATACTTGCTTTGCTTTATCATCACCATTACAAATGATTAATTCGACGCGAACGAAGTCGCGGGTACACGCTAGTTTATTATAAAACTAAAATATACTGGTCTAAAAAAACTAAAAATGGACTAAAAAATCAAATTAGTTGTGTGTTGTGTATGTACAGAGCTCTTTTCGCATTATAATGGTTGAAAGAAAAGACGGCAATTTTTTATTCGGTCGCCATGCGGCATTCCATTACGCCATTAAAAAGTTACGATCCGCGTGTCTGAAAACTCGATTTTCAATTAAAAGAGTTTTCCGTTCCGTTGAGACCAAAGCCGGGTTAAAATTGAGTTCTATTAGAATTCAAATGTATTTTTCTCCCTGCTGCAGTTTTTCTAAATTAAATTAAGGCGGAAGCAGTATGGTGTTGCAGTTTTTAATCCCGAGTATCATGTTTAAAGAAATACAATTAACTTCCGTTTCATGTTTTAGGTAGCAACCAATAAAATACAGGGTGTCCCAGAAATAAGTGCAAGTATTTTAAGGGGTGGCAGATCTGGTCAAAAGAAACATATTTTCTCTTTACCATTTTTAATATAAATTGAAAATAGCCCAGTTATATAACTTTGCAAATATTAAAAAATAATAGCAACATTTTGAGAACCGCTGGCAGATATACTGGCCAAATACATTCAAGTATCTCAGGTAATTCGACGCCCTGTGTTGTCATATTGACAAGAAAGTATATATATGCTGAAAAATAAGTCATAAAATCACACCACCTGAGAAGTTGGGGCAGAGATTGCAGAGATGCACTACATTTTAAGAGATTGCATTAAAAAACTTACCTAACATTAAAGAACAGATCGGTAACTATGACAGTTCTCTTTTTCGAAAATACACTTCACTGTGCTGCTTTAGGCTAAAAACATAGTGGCGCGACGAGGAGAGCGGCGAGCAAGCAGCGCGATATCGCGTGGATCGGGCCTCGAGGTGCTAAATCATAGTAGAGCGGCGAGCACATCGCTTTACTATGTTCACGCGTACTTTTCTTCACAGGTTTGTTTTGGACGCGACATCGCGCTGCTTGCTCGCCGCTCCCCTCGTCGCTCCACTGTTTTTAGCCTTTCTTGTACATACTATTATAATAACTGCTAAAATAACAGTCCCCATTTCTAACAGATTATTTTCATATAGGCTTCAACACAATTTGAACCACTGATTTACAAAACACACTGAAAAGCGCGATGTCTGCATAATTGGGGACGGGCTACAGGATGAGGCCCTCAACGTTTGGAATCAATCGATGCCTCTAAATGGACGAAATCATAAGGATTTTTTTAAATTATGGGTCGATTGAAACCAAACTCGGCACGTGGATAGAGGTACCCGAATGGAGTCCTCAGATGGACAGACGGACACACGATCATTATTAATACAAATTTTGTGAAAGTGGATCAAATTATTTATTAATTTTTAATTTATTACTTTTTCAAGCATGTCCTTCAAATCTTTAAATTTGATAGTTGTTAGTAAAAAGTTTTTCTACGAATATGCGTACGTAGTGCACACACAATTTTTTTTATTTGGTAATATAAATTAGATAAAAATTATAGAACTTACCAGGGTTGTCAGCTTTAAACCGAACAATAGTATATCCTCCATCGGGGACGTTCACAGTATCCTTAATAGGAGCATTAATCAAGTTTCTTTTGATGTAACCGTCGCTATCTCTTTTCTTCACTTCATCTACTGTAACGTTTCTTCCTAGTCTCTCCATGGCTACCACCCTGAAAGCGTAACCGTGTAAGTGGAGGGGATGATTAGCGTCATAGGCAAATCCTTCATCGATGATCACCAATTCCACAACAGCATTCAAAGGAATCTGAAAAAGAGAATTAGACATCCTATCATATACAGGGGATCTCCTAAATAAGTGCCAGTATTAGGAAAAGATTCTATCATATAATACTTTTAATTAAAAAGAATTAAAATTAAAAATCTGTAGAAAATTAAACTAAATATTTTAAAAGGCGTCCATTATTCCCAAAGAGACCTGGTTTATAAATACAAAAGAAGCAAAAAGACTCAAAGTCTCGGTCTCAACATTTTTAACTTTTTATAATAAAAGTCTCAACATTTTTAACTTTTTATAATAAAAGTTGAGACCGAGACTTTGAGTCTTTTTGCTTCTTTTGTACTAAAATGATCAGTATTTCAAAAACCACTCTGTATTGACTCTGAAATTAGAGTATTTTTGGAATAAAATTTCATTATAAATCTACTGAACTCGAACAAAATATTCAGCATTCTGAAAAGGTTTAACTTTAGTATAAAAGTTTATTTGAATCACCCTGTATATCTATGAAAATATCTATAAAATGAGCGCTTTTATGGCCTGAATAATTTACAAAATACTTGAAGTAAAATTCTCAAGAAAACCTGATATAGAGCAATTTAGAAACACTGATCACACTGTATATCCTGTCATCTAACAGACTTTGCTAATAAAGCATAAAAATAATGATACAAAGGGAATTTGATGTAAAGGGAATTTAAAAATGCAGTATTTTACAAGTACTTTTTTCCTGTTCTTATTTAGCAAATTTGTTTACATAAAACTAACCTAAAAATGATTTTAAAAAATCTTCGAAACTCAATCGTATTCAAGAAGGGTATTACTAAAAAAACAGCCGATTATATTGAAGCCATACAACCGAAATTTAATTTAAAATAAAATATTGTCGAAGTCGGCTAAAGCATAATTTTACACTAACTTCATTTGAGTTTTTTTCCTCTTAGAAATCTGAAAAGACCGCGATAATTTAATAATGAGAGAAAAATTAAAAAGAAACTCTTGAATGGATGCCGGCTTCTTTCATAGCATTGCCACCGACCGCTGTCGGGTTTCTAGGAAAGAAACCTACGTCGCCGGACGACAACTAAAATCCAGTTTATATTTTATTAAAATCGATCCTGACGAATAAATGAATTTGATAAATGAATGAATTTTATAAATGAATGGTTTTTGCTGCCGAATTACTTACTATTCGATAATTTTTATTCGAATAGTTTTCGACGAATGTTTTCTTACTAGCTATCGAATTATTCGAATGAATTGAAACTATCGAATGTTTCGATAGTATTCATTCGATAGTTCCCACTACTAGTTTATATATCAACCAGATAAAAAATTTATAGATCATAGAGAGAATACCAAATAAACTTCTAGTCGCGTGATTAAGCTTGGCCGGCACACCCTTGACCACTTTTACATATTTTCTTTTAGTCATAATATTTTAGGCAACAAAAATAAATTAATTATAAATATATAAACAGTTTATTATAATTACATCAACAAAAGTCGCCTCCTCAACAGCACTTAAGGGACATAAAGGGCCATTACTACCGCTTTCCCGTTCAAAATATTCTAATAAGGTTGCGATGAGCTTTTTGCAACGGCTATTAAGCTATCTTATACACTTCGCACTCAAAGAGGTTCTAAAAGAAACAATGTTTGAAGAACAACAAACGGTTTGCTTTTGCTTTGCTTGTATATGTTGGATCAAACAAAAATGTATATGGTAAGTTCTATAGTTTACCTTTACCTTACATATTATGTTTAATTATTAATTTATTTATAAGCTATTATTAATACTTATTTATAAATAAATATAATAACTATAAACTTATATAACAACAAATACTGTAATATCATAAAGAGTCAAGTTTACCTGGTATCCATGAGGACATTCACAGTGAGAATTCGCACAATCCTGATCTTTGATGGTATCGTTGTTACAAAACATATTTTTTGGTATCTCATCTCTTTGGGACAGCAAAGAAAACGATGGTATTTCCATAGAAATATGATTGATTTGAGGAGTCAAAAGTTGATTTAAACTAGAGGTAACTAAAATTTAAATTTCTTAGTAATACTTAATACTTTTTTTAAATAGCTTTACAAAAAAAAATTGAAAATATTACTACTTACCGTTATTAAATTCATATCCTTCTCTGTGAAAGTACTTATTATCTATGGTATAAAAGTCGTATGCTAGATAGATTTGGACATCTGGATCAACTTTCAGTCTGGAGTCCCAACTATCCAGTGAACTTAGTTCTGGCATGGAAACGTGTTTAGTGTTGTTACTTTCGGTGCCCTTGTTTAGGGAATTAATTTGCTGTAACAGAAATGTGTAATTTAATGACGTATCTCAACAAGACTAATTTTGTTTATCATATCATTCTTTCATTAATCCCATTTATTCCAAAAACGATCGTCGTAGACTTTAAATTAGTACACAAAAAATTCAGCGAATTTCTTATTTGGCTTTAAGGCTCAAACCTATAGGG